GTGCTCGCAAGAAATAAGCGAGCGAGGTTTACACAAATGAAGTATCCGTTCACCGTCATCATTACGCGGACTACACCATGTTGGCCGCCGAGATGCAGCTCATCAGTGGACAATTTTCTAACTTGAGCGTCCAGATCCTCCACCAGCACTACGGTGTCTGTGCTTGTACTGTGGCGAAGGAGCACGTTCAGTTGATGATACTACCCGTATTTTATCGAATCATCGCTACAACTTGTGGGGGACGAAAGCAAACATGATAAACAGACACCTATTAGCCCCGCGAGACTTCGAATCTTTGAACGAGCCAGCCAATCAGACCGCACACATCCGGGTACTGTTTGGAATCCAATCAACCAGAGCAGCTTCAGCCCGGGGACTCAGGGCAATGCCAACACCAGCTTGGCCAGTGCTCGAAGCTGCACCGTCATCAGATAGGCGCAATGAGAAAGTGCTGCTAGTGTCACCTGAAGGGGATTGCAGAGTGAGCACAGAGCTCGAGTCTTGCAGGCGGGTCTCCGATAAGCAGCAGATATTTATCGAGAGGGTCTCTAATGTTCGGGCAAGTGCTGCCTGTTGACCGATCCGCAAAAAAACGGAGTATATTGAGGCATGCCAGTCTTAGTGAGGATCGAGGACTCCAAAGGGAAACGGATGTAGTCGCGTTGTCCGCTTAGTTGAACATGGACTTGTCTACTGCATTGCAGCGACACCCTGCAATTGTGTGTGAGTTGAAACTAGAAGACAAGTGACTATTGGAGCAAGTCGGGGGAGGGTCAAGAATTAGGGGATTGAGAACAGAGGGGGGAAAAGTGAAATTGGAAGAGGACGATAAGGAGGAAAAAGCGTAAGAGGGAAAATAGGAAGATGCGAGGGCTTGAGCAGTAGCATCCAAATCCCTATCCACCCTGCTCGATGGAGAAGACAGGGCGCCGCTGGCTATCCTCTGTGACTGCCAGAACATCAAGAAATGGTTTATAGGGAAAAATATTGTGTTGTATTGCATGAGCAGGATATTGTCAGGTTGCCCGGGCCTAGGCTGGAGAAGGATTAGGGTTCTCAACAAAAACCTATGATTTAAAAACGTGGCCACAAGGCAGCGGGTTTGGCAAGGGACTAAGAGGAGTCAGTTTTAAGGAAAACGAGTCACCCTCATTCCAACCTCCAACTTGGAGGAACAAGAGACTGCGTTTGTCTGGACTCTAACCATTGACCAATCTGGTATGAGTGGTTCTGAAAGTGCAAAATATCACCACCCTGCATAGCTCAATGGATCACTGAGGCACGCAGACAATCGCCATACGGTAAGGCCTCGCCTCATGGCGATGGCATGAGAATACCATTGATGTGTTGCTTGGGACGCTGGTTGAGTTCATTTAGAGAATGGAAAGATGTCAGCAGTACGTCGGTACACCGTACTGACGCTTCGCTGCCACGCGAGTATCGCGTCTCGAGCGGGTCAGGGATACTTTCAGGTAACCCACACTTACGCAGACACGAACCGGTAACCTTAGAGCCGCAACGCAGACGCCTCACCGCTTCGGCAGCCGACCCTGTCGAGTATTACCCTCCAAGAATAAAAGTCTGCTATTTACAACATCTTCAGATCGCGTATGGACCAGAAGCGCTAACAAAGTGGCGCATTCCTTTGGCTATTTCTTGCGTGACCTCACTTTGAGATTTGTTCGTATCAGATCAAATCAATCATCCACTATTTATCCGACTCGTTTAATTATCAACAGCTTGCATCCGCGACAACCGAATAGCTTTCAACTCACTGGCCTTATGTTTATCAAGCACACCAGTTCGATCTCCCAATGACACAGTCGTTTTGGTGTCTTGAGATTGCCGAAATCACCTTGTTGTTTGCCAGTGGTGATGTGGTAGACGCGCATCGCGAAGTGTGGTTGCAAGATAGCAGGCCGTATGGTAGCCAAGCGACTTTAAGGCGAAGAAGCACACTTAGTTGACCAAAGCACACATATTGGCATCTACGTTAATGGCGATGGATGTACGATTGCTGAATTTACTCTACGTATTGCTATGACCATAACTGACCGTCTGTGTATGTGACACCTCGGAGGGATATTTTCCATAGCCCAAGGTGTCATGTATGCAGGATTACATTGATAAATGTTCCCCTCTCCGGCAACGAGACTGCCTCTCCTATCTGCTGCCCTCATGTGTCTACGGCATGTCTGGCAGCTGTTACTGATTGTAACCGAATTCCAAACTTCCATCCGAATGCAACACCAGTACAAATTGTGAGTACCCGATGCAGCATCAGCATAGATGCCACCGCTAACCGCGGACTTGAAAATAGACGACTGCTTTGCATCTATGCTTTGGAGAAACAGGGGACAACAACTGTGACAAGGTACAGGGTGTTTTGATTGGATATCGCGGGTCAATGTTTGTCAGGTGAAGCATATGATTGGTTCAGATGAACGATGGGTGTTGCCCGTTCGCAACACACTGCACACCACGAACGGTTGCGTTTCACTCGTAAGGCAACGAGACAGGAGGACTGTGAGTGGAGTACGAGACCTTGGGGAGGTCAGCTGAAGACTTTGCCTTAAGCCACCGAGTTGGGGTTGGTTGTCTCATGATGAATTCATGTGATGTGAATGTAGGGCGTGTGTGAGTTAACGAAATGTGTCTCAGTCGGGCGTATAGATAACAGATGTGTCCTCGTTCGTCCCCTATTCTGACTTACAACACAGGGTAGTGTCGCCTGTTCACGGATCGAACAATGAATTTCTTATGAAGAAACCACATGTGAAGTCGGAGAAGATCGCTTGTCGGCTGAACAAAGAAGAAATAATAGGCGGCGAAAGAAACAGACATAAATAAAACTAGTCGCATATGAGTAAATCATACGCGCTAAATGAGCGGTTACGTTCGAAGACATACACTTCCAAACATTATCTTGATCCAAAGGGCAGCGGATAGCGGGTCCAAATCGAAAAGATGAACGTGGAGTTCCGAAGGCATTCATTTGTAGCCGGTTACAAGGAAGCGTGAAATTTATCAAGCACCAAACACGTCATTCACTGTATTATCATTATACACGTTAGCTAGACTTGTAAAATATCTCAGCTACTGTGCCGCAATACATCAAAGAAAAAAAGAAAAAAAATGCAACGGTTGCATGCCAGCCGAGCTACCAGAAACGGATGGGCATCCTTCCGGAAAGTTACCAGCCGGTTAATAGACAACAAAAAATATTATGTAAAATTATATTACGCTACGAACTGAGATGGTGGTTGGAAGGAGAGGCTAAAAGGGATGGGGGGGGACAAAGAAACTCACAGTAGGAACGCCAATGAGGTCGGCTCCTAGCCATGTCAGTAACTGTATCTACTCAAATGTGTTCATCGTCTTTCGGACCGCAAGCAGGGAGCCGTGACACTCCAATCCAGTTCAGCTCCGAAGTGAGGGCCTTCAATCTTGTCGACCAAGTCATCGCTTAGCCACCCCTCCTTTTCTTCCATCCACATCGCCGGTGTGCAAACACCGTACGTCGCTGGCATGCGTAACACGTGGCCGAAGCATCGGAACCTGGTGCGTGAAATGACGGTGCTGAGCGGTTCAGTTCCATTTTCTGTGCTGTAAACAAGGCGTCGAATATGCCTGTTGCGCACGCGGTGTTCCCACCAGATGTGAGTCAAAGTGCGAACGCACCGGTGGTCGAACGTATCAAGTCCTTTTAGGTCCGCAGATCTAAGGGGCCAGGTTGAGACACCGTACAGTAAAGTCGAACGTACCGCCACATGGTACACTCTACCCTTCAGGGCGAGAGTGATGTCGCGAAGCCACCACAGGTGTCAAAGTCTAGCAAAAGCGCCTCGAGCTTTTGTTACACGGTACGTGATCTCATCGTCGAGCCTAAAGGTGCTGATCCAACTTCCCAGATAGTTGAATTTCTGGACGACTTCTAGCTCATCCCCACCAACGGTCAGCGCAGGAGGCGATCCCTGCCAATCTTGGAGGAATGCTTTGCATTTCGATGGTGCAAAGCAAAGCCGGAAGTGGCTGACAGCCAGTGCTAATCTGTACAGTACTGCTTGGCAAGTCTGGGAGCTGTCACAGATGAGGGCCATCTCGTCTGCATACTCCAAGTCAAGAAGTCGTTCTCCTGGGAGTGGCTCCACACCTTCTAAGTCGTGTCCTGCGAATGTAATCTGCATGACTTGGTCAGTAGGAAGTTGGAGAGGAAAGGTGACAGCGAGCATGTTTTTCTCCCACCGTTGGAGATACTGGAGGGCGGCGACAGCTTGCCGTAAGCCCTCATTCTGCCCCTGTTACACGCGTATAGTGCGCGGATAATACATATTTCTCGGGCACGCCTTTACGGTGTGGACAGTCGCAAAAGGCATATCGATGCACCAAATCGAAGGCACCTTTGATGTCGAGGAACACGACAACGGTGGGCCAGCAATATATGTGACTATAGAATATGACACAACTGCGATCACTGTCAACTGTAGTCGAATGTTTGTGAATTTGCACCCTACTAGAAGTAGGCCGCTTACCTTAAGATAGGAAATAGCAACCTAGCGAATAATGGTTGCGTTCTTACATCATTGGAGCCGACAAGTGGGGCTCCTGTTCCACACCAACAGAGCTGAGATCACAAAACGGAAGGTGCAATTTCCGTTCATGATTAAGTAGTAAGGGGATGGTCGACGGACTCTACTCAGGGACGTTGGGGTTGACGTGGCCTTGTCATTAACCATCCATCTGTCTGGCATGAGTGGCGTGAGAGACACTCAACGCACCTCCGTCAGTTATTGAAGCAAGCAAACCATCGCACAACCTTAAGTTTCAGGCGCGTCGCCAGGGCCGGTCGAACGACGATGAGCAAAACGTCAACGAACAAACGGCAACTTTGTCCACGAAACTGAACAAAGCGCAGCAAGGGAAAAAACCGAGTGGATGGAATAACATCAATTTGCCATCGAGTGCGTAAAGTAGGGAGAAGAATGAATAAGGAGACCTGCCTTGCCGACTTGCCGAGCACCATAGACCCGACAATAGAAAACAGTTCGCTGTGTAGACCGTCGAATGGAATCCAAACGTTTTTCAGCGGTGATGACTAATCCACGGAGTAGTGCGTCTCGGCTATTTCGACTCAGATGCCCAGCAGGATGACTCGGTTCGGATCGAGGGGAAGAACGAAGGCTATCAAGGTCAACTGGTCCTGTGGATGCCTTGTAAGAGTGAGTGAGATCCGAAGACAGTGAATTCTCTGAAGGACTATCAGCTGGGCGATGCTGTGGAATGCGGGACCCCACGGCAGACCAGAACGATCCCGCGGCAAAATATGTGAACCCGAGATGAGCGAAATACTCCAATACCTTGGTGGGCTCCAAGTATGCCATTAATCTGAAAGGTACGAGTTGATTCACAAACCCGTGTTACGCGGTACCCATCTAGGTGTTAAACAGCGTATCGCATCATTCCGTAATGACAACAGGTGAGTGAGCAGGCATTAAGTTGGTGACAATTACAAAAAGGAAGATGCCGTAAGCAGTATCCATCATACCTCCATCTATTTCCTAACAAAAAGCATTAACAACGAAGCTAATACGACCGGAATCAAAAAAATCGGAGCGGGGTAGCATGGTGAAGGCAAAAAAACCCTATCCTTTGCGATTTCCATTGCTGCATACGAGCGGGAAAGCCAATCAGTGGAATACGGAGGGACATAAAGTTGACACTAATAAGCGGAAGGCATAAGCAGTACGCCGGTACACAGCACCGACGCTTCGCTGCCAATCAACCACACCCAGTCGCACGCGGGTCAAGGATATTGCGAGTCGTCTTGGTCCCAACGCAGGCTCGAACCAGCGCTGTCGGATTACAAGGCAGGCTTGTGATACATTAAAGCTACGGACCGACACTAATAAGCGTACGATGGACTACGCCTATTAAGCAGGTTAAAGACTCGCTAAGCTCTCCAGATAGCCTACGATGCATGGTGGGTGGCATGTAGATGCGCTAGGTAAAAGTGCCAATGGGATAAATGTAGAAGAAATCAAAAGAGGCAAGTAGGGCAAATAGGAAGATATCGGTTAAGAGGTTCTGCCGGCGCACGGAGGAGGACCGTTGCTATGGTATTACGTAGTCTAAAAATTAACCGAAAATCGATTGAAGCTCCCGGAAGCCGTCTGTTCACATCAACCGAACAACGTCGGTGATGAGTGGACGCCTAAAGAGTTGAGTGTTTTAAATGAAATGCACAGGAAAATACAACTAGATGCTTATATCGTATGATTTTAACGCTATACTTCAGGTGTCTTTCCCTGCTTCCATATCGTCTTCTTTAGTGTTATTACTATTGTAGAATGGTGACGAAGGCAAGGGTAAATGAATCCCCTGAACTTTGGCCCCCCGAATTACAACTGTCAAAGCGTTGAAAGTGGAATATCCTAGCAGTCAATGAAGAGAGAACCGAAGAGATGGAACAATAACAAGAGAGTTCAAGGATGCATGCTGCAGCACCGTTTACAAAAGGTATCGAAGAATGTGAGCCTGGGTCTAATGAATTGTCGTAACCGAATGATGTCAACTCTTGTTAACAGTGAAATGGAACAATAGCACCAGGATGAAAAAGTTGCCCGAACTGGAGGAGACAATTTCAAAGCATAGAGCGGATCTTGGAGATTGTAGTAACGAAAAAAAGAATCACAGAAGTAGACCAGTAAGATGGAAGAAGTACTCACGCCCAAAAGGCCATGAAACCCTGTTGTGTGATCCAACCGGTCGAATTGGTGGTAACAGAATCCGTTAGGCTAAATATTTTCGACAACTGGTCCGTCGGGCATGTGGCTAAAAGTTCTGCGAGCTCTGCTGGCGATAAGCATCCGTCGCGATCCTGAAAAACAAAAGTGTGCTACAGAGCATGCAATTCAAAAGCGGGAAGCCAAACGAGAAAACAAATTGCATGGAAAGTACTCCCACTGGACGATGGAGGAGGTATAGTGATGGACCAGCATGCATGAGTGGATGTAGTGCGAATGAGCAATGGAGAGCTGAGAGTTGAGATAGACACTGGATGGAACTCACAAAGCAATCTCCCATTAATTCCTCTGTTGTGTCAACCAGACTATAGGGTGAAGGATTAGGGTTAACCAATATCTCGGAATACGCAACGAGAGACAACGACCCACGCGGTTTTAAGTATGCACTTCCTAGATTAATTGAAAGGGAACTGCTACTGACTTCGCAGCTAATGAAAACAATATGCCTTACTCGTTATCCAGACAAATTAGGCATTGAATCCGCCAATGTTGCATACTTAGTCAGATCAGACAACAGGCTGCCCAAATTCTCGCTCTTTGCTTCCTAAGAATCCATGTGCAGTGTGTGCCAAGAACATACACGCATACAAGATAACAGGACTTGCAATGAATCGTTGACCATTTGGAGAAGCAGTCAACTGTCAACTGAAAAAGCAGACTGTCTCCGATGGCTGCAAGACCATGATGAAGGTATTACCAAATTAGAAAGATGGAAAACAACCTACTCGAAGGAATCCCAATGGATATGCGCAAGTATGTACTCCGACTTTGAAGCTTCACAAAAAGAAACAAGGAACCACCTGAAGATAAGCCAGGTTTTATTGTCTTAAAGTATGTGTCAATCGACTGCGACTCGGGGGCTATCAAAGAAAATTTTTATAGACAACACCCATCGCTTAGTTGCACGACGAAGAACATTGATATAGTGATCGCTGTTGGTGTCAAGGATCGCGAAAATACAAAACTCCGAGCAACACCGTCCAGGTAAATCCAGTCATATAAGCGTCACACCCTAATAAGTTTAATTTCGGCAGTTACACTATCGATGCAGATGTGCTGGAAGGTAGTACAAACGAAAAGTACAGAAGCGAGCAGGAAAAGGAAAAATATGGGCAATCGTTACTCCAACAGCTGCTCGCTGATCAGACTAAAGTATGCAATGTATGGATTTCGATTGCATGTGCACACACAGAGCACACTCTGCTGGTTTAAGCGAAGCGTCCCTTTTTGGAGATTCTTATTCATGAACGGACTCAGAGTACACAGTTTAGCAATACTAAGACGCACATTAGTACGCCGTTCCAAAAACCAATAAGTGGAACTGTGTTTAAGGTGTCATGAAGAAGGGTTTCGAGCTCGCATGTCTATCCAACATGGAGCGTCTAGACTGCGAATAGATTTCTGGTGCACCGGTTAGTTTGATCGAAGCACGAAAGCTGATTGCGTCAAATTTTCAGTTTTCGTGTGTCCGTAACACCCGAAGAGAGGTTTGGTTGGGAAACTGAGTAGTGAAAGGAAAAGTTGGTAGGTGGAGAGGCATTCGATGTAGGTCAGCATGATTGGAGATAGCCGAGAACAATTGCAACTCCGGAGCACGGAACCAAAAAAGCTCTAGTAAGACAGTTGAGAAAGACAGACGGCTGATCGGCCCTCAGACAAGTCCACAGGATCGATGGGTTGAACATTCTGAATGGCAATTCAGTGGACCTGTTGAAACAACAAAAGATGCGGTAGCACCTAAACCCGAACGGGACGTCGTTGTTACGACTCTCACTGGAGAGGAGAATGAAAGCAAGGGACCTAGACAGGGTGACCTGATTGTATCGCTAATAGAAGGGGGAGAAAACTCGACATTGGTTGACCTGGCCGCCCCATAAAACACTACGCGAAACCCATGATATCTTGATACTGGTGGCTAACAATCGTCATCCTAGTAAATAAAATGGTCACAGAACATCACGTAAAAAGCACTGATGCACTGGCCTTATTAGAATGGTGTGGAAACTGTCAACAGGAGCATACCACGGTAGCTCAGTAGTTATTATGAGTCGAATACCTGGACGCAAAGCCAGCTTTTATGCTGGTATAGGGTGTACTGATCTCACAGTTGCACGTCGCGAAATATCGAAAGAAAGATGTATATACAAATGTTATACCGTGACTGCATACCTTGACTAGAAAGACACTTCCTAATTAAGTTGATTGTGCTAAACTGTGCTACCGCTCTTCATTGAAGTGAGCGTTAAGGAAACGTCTTTCAATGCCGAAGGCAGCGATGATCGAACGTAACAAGGCGCTTTATGTCTGTCGATCGGATAGACCAAGCTTCGCAACCGTACAGGAGAGTTGAATGCAGGGTTGCGACATAAACTCTCCCGTTCAGAGCGAGAGTGAAGTACCGCAGACGTCAGAGGTGGCGGAGGCTGGCAAAAGCACCTCGGACTTTTGCTATGCGGTTTCATCCTCTATTCCAATGGTGCTGATATATCGGCCTAGATACTTGAACTTATCGATGATTTGTAGCTAATCACCATCAAGCGTCAGTGCAGAGGTGGGTCACAGTCAATCTCAGAGGACTTCGCACTTCGACAATGCAAAGCATAGCCCCAAACGACTGACAGCCAGTGTTAATCTGTCGAGGGCTGCTGTGCACGTTTTGAGCTGCCACAGACACGGACAATGTTATCGGCATCCTCCAAGTCAATAAGTTGATCGCCTGAGAACAGCTCCACATCTCTTAAATCCTGACCAGCGAATTTCATTTCCATGACTTCAATGATGGCGGATTTGAAGAAAATAGGTGATAGCGGGCAACCTTGTCTCACACCGCTGGGGATACTATAGGGCGGCGACAGCTTGCCATAACCCCTCTCTTTGCTTGAGTTACGTGTGTAAAGCGATCCGATAATGTTTACGTATTTTTCGGGCACACCTTTCCTCGACAGACAGTTCCAAAGGGTATATCGAACAACCGAATTGAAGGCATCTTTGATTGTGAGGAGCACGGCTACGGTTGGTCGCTGATAAATATGCCGATGCATCAACCATTGATCAGTACAGTGGTCAACACAGCAGTGACTACGACGAAACCCGGATTGCTCCTCACGAATCTGGCTTTCACGTGTGCTAAAACGACAGAGGCAAACAACTTAAAGGCAACTGAGATCACATTGATTCATCTATGATGGCCGCAATCCGAACGTGAGTTCCCCATTGAAAATTGGGACCATTATCGAGCGGTTCCAGTCTGCTGAGACAGTTTCCTGCTCACACAGCTTCACAAGTTGTGAAAATTATCTACAAGAGCAAGTCCCCTGGATTTGTAGAGAGCTGGAGCAAATCTGTCGGCCCCTGCAGCCTTATTTGCTCGCAACAGTTTGATCTCACATTCGACTTTTGAGCGTGAGGGCAGCTCCAAGGATACGGCCGAAGGAGGACAAAAATTGGGCGATGAAAAAGTTGGTAACTCTGGTTGATGAAGAGTCTTTTCAGTGTTCCCCCGAATGCTCCAAGCGTTTTGACAAATCGCGGATTGGCGGTCTACGTTCGTACCGTATGATCACGCTAACATCCGGTCACCTTCTGCCCGACTCGGACTCAGACGGAAAAACTTCTGATGGTTACAAAAAGCAGCAGCCATTTACATCTCCGATGTATTATGGGACCATTATGATTCTCGGTCTCTCTTCAGGCTAGTACATAGTTGCGCCCAGAGTCTCGATTTGTGGGCTGCCAGTCGGAACATGTCGGTGAGCATTCCAAAATTCCAGAGATCGCATAGAGACCCAATGTCCAGGTTGGCGATTTGATTTGCCACGAAGATATGCCTGCCGCTAATAACGTCTGGCGGATATGCGGCAATTGGCTCTCTACCGTGTTCAAAAATCGCTTGCCCAGGTCGGATGTCAGCGTACCTTGATGCGCATTGAGAAGGTCTAGCTTCGCAAGCTGGCAAATATTTACGCGCTCGCCGGTCTGTAGCCTAAAGGGTCACAAGCCTGCCTTGTAATTCAATGGCGCAGTTTCGAGCCTGTGTAGGGGACCGGCAATCCTCGCAGTATCAGTAGCCCATGCACGACTGACGGTGGTGGTTGCGCAGCAACGAGGCATCGGCACTGCACCTCGGCGTACTGCTGATAAATTGTTGCTATGCGCTCAGTGCAATGTAGCACAAGCCCACCGAAACCAACTGTAAGATCGACACAAACGAGTAAGTAGGAAGGGTGTACCCATGTGCCACAAATCGAGCGACAATTTTGAACACAGTCTCTCCAGTGGTAAGTTGTCGCAATATGATCGATTTGCATCCAAGGCTGGTTGGTGCCATATCACCCTACGACAGATGCTGTGCTGAAGTAGACGATCGTCTTCACACAGGTATAGAAACCGCTCACTGTTATCAATACGGAAACCTACACCGTGTTGGCCGCCCAGATGTAGCTCATCAGGGGACATTTGTCCAACTTGGGCGATCAGAGCACTAGGCAGCATCACGATATCTGTGCTTTTCCCGTAAAGAAGTAGGTCGTACAGTTGGTCATAGAATTCAGCTTTCACCGACTCAGCACTACAGTTTGCGAAGGCGCAGGCCGTAATGACAAACAGGCACCGTTTGTCTGCGCGCGACTTAGAAGTTTTGAACGAGCCAGCCAATCTGACAACGCACATCCGGTTGTTGTTTGGGATCTAGTCAACCAGGGTAGCTTCTGCCTGGGGGCTCAAAACAATGCTCACATCAGCTTGAGCAGCATTGAAAGCAGCGTTATCTCTAGAAAAACGCAACAAGAAAGTGCGGTCAGTGTCGCTTGTGGGGATCACAGGGTAATCACGGAACTCGAATCTTGCAGACTAGAAACGGATGTACTGACGTTGTCTGCTTGATTGCATATGGACTTACCAACTTGACTGGAGCAATGCCTTGCTATTGCACGTGAGTCGAAACTAGAAGACAAAAGTCTATCAAAGCACGATTGGGGAGGGTCAAGAATTGGGGACAGAAAACAAGGGGATAGAATCGAAGCTGGGACGGGACGATGAGGATGAAAATGCGTAAGAAAGAGAGTAAGGAGGTAGGAAGGATTGAGCAGTAGCATTCTCACCACTATCAACTTTGCTAGATGTAGCAGATAAGGCGCCGTTGAATATATGGTTGTCGGCATCCGTATCTGGATTTGCCTGTCACTGTGGTCGCTCACAGGACGCCTGGACCTGTATATATATATATATATATATATATATATATATATATATATATATATATATATATATATATATATATACAAGCAGTAGGGGGATTTATTCGATATTTTGTGAAGATTCGTCGCAGTTAGATTCAGGCAGACAGCCATCACACATCCAGGAAAGCGCTAGACGGCCGTTTCGTCCTATTGGGACTCGTCAGTAGCGTGCACCCACCGAATTCTGCCGGATTTGAACCCACGAACTGACTCTTGCGAGTCAGTGACATATGTCACTAAGGAATGGGGGACGGCAGCGGACCGCCATTACTGCTATCTAACTGCGATATAGTGCGGCTCATCCTCCACTGTCTAGCATGTTATGTATTCGTAAGTCAAAGGAGTAGGTGTGGAGCAAAGGTGGGAAACGTAAGGTCGAGAATTGAACAAACAAGTGGTCTGAGAGATACATACCACCGTCAAACAGGGTTAGAGTAAGCCGTAAATATATGGTTTGTGTGCCTTTAAGATCCCCTGAGCTGTATGGTGCAACATTTCACGGAACGTTTAGAAACTTCGTACAAGACTTCCTTTCACAAATTTTCAAAATTGAAAGAAATAACATTTCGACAGGATAAACCGAATGCAACTATTTCGCGTATTCTCGTCAACTATGTTGCACACAGACATTCGAGGGGTAACGTTGTTGGTGAATCGCAGGAAGTCAGAGTTCATCTGACGCAGTCCAGCAATCAATTTAGAGCAGTGGTCCTCAACCTGCTTAAAGTTGTTACCCACAAAGTGGGTTCCCTGTAAACAAGTATACAAAAAGTTAGGTTAAAAACCTTATTAGCTATTGCATATTTGATGTAACGTACGGAAAATAAACATTATTGGTGTGGTGGACAGCCTACAACTTGAAGAAGCAGGGTGAAAAAGGCGACAAAACACCCGACCACGGTTGGTTCATCCCGACTCCCTGGATGGGGTCCAAAGGATGCTGAGTACAGTTGGTTGGAAACGTTGGAAGTCATGGCTCGTAACCGAAACACAGTGGCGAGCGTATCTCTACTTATTGCGGTGATACCATTTCCCCAATAAAAAACATCAAAAAACGCAAAAAATGAGTAGGAATATGGACGAAAAATTGTTTCTTTTCTTTTTTTACTCTAACCATGTTTTCCTATTCCGCCATGGTTCCGATGGGACGACATCTATACACAGATTGTGACCAATATATATATATATATATATATATATATATATATATATATATATATATATATATATATATATATATATATATATAGTGATCTATCAAAAACAATAATTATTTCCTCTGCCCGCTCTATACTTAAGGCTCTAATTTCTAGTAATGCATCCTACGGCTATTCTGTTTTACCGTACCCGTCCAGCCTGCTTGTTGATCCCACCAAAACTATCAGTATGATGCGAAGTGATATGTGTAGGCATTTATAGACCCTTTTCTCTTTAACAGTAATTTCACATACTTCACCACCCGCAGTGATAGTGTAACATGCTGAAAATGCACCAACCCGGATGCACAAAAAACTACTTTGGCTTGACTTGATATACGTGGCGTAGTCATGAAGTTGCGCACTTGCATTCATTCTCTTCCGCGGGTTTTGTCCACTAGCTTTGAAGTGTCACCATCCATCATTTTTGATCATGGGGTACTACTATAGTGAGGTTAGTGAAACCAATGGATGCATCACCATCATGGCTACCGACCGTAGAAAGAAAAATGAAATCAAATAAAGTATCTTTTTACGGTTGAACAAAGCCTTATAGAAATGCCAAAGTGAAGGATGTACGCAATGTGATCTACACGAGAAAGCAACACAGAGGATAAAGTGGAAGAAGAGGACAAATATGCCTGAGAACGCTTACCAAATCGTATTTGGTGAACAGCATGGAAAGGAACTGGGATCCTAGAAGAGATATTTCAGTGCTGCAATCTGAAGGGACAAAAAACCTGAAAAACGAAGTATTGGGAGAGTGAAAAACAGCTAGCATAAAAATGATGATGCAACAACGTTGAGCGATAGTGGTTAGGGTTTCCCGAAGAAAAGTAAGAACGCTAGATAAGAGAGAAATGGTTGAATGAGGAGATTGAAAACAAAAGGTTTGATAAGAAAACGAGACGATAAATACCGACACATCAAGTCGAGAACATAAGTCTAACGTAACCAATAAACAGAAGGCAAACTTTAGACAGCGAGTGTTCGTGTCTGAAAATTAATTAAAGCGACAAAGCAAAGTGATTAAAAAATAAATTAAAACTGGACACAAATTTCCTGCAATGTAGTTAACTAGGAAAAAGCAATGACCTGATGATAGGATGGAGAATGAAGGATGGTGGAAGGATGAAGGATGGAAGAATAACAATCCATAACAGGTCAGTTAATCGAAGGTATAAGGTGCGGCAAACACGTGGTAGACTCAATTGTCGTTATGTCACCATGAAATGTCCAAAAAAGCACCAGAAAATTGGGAGGAGCAGACGACTTATTGGAAAACAGAAAAAAATAAAGTTCTCTAAGACCAGCAAGCCAATGACTACAAGTGAATAAATGAAATAGCATCACAGACGTTAGGGCAGTTAGCGTGGCCGATGCCGAAGATAACACCGAGGAAGACAGTGCGTACCGCCAAGGTTCACAGTATTTCGGTCAGACTCTCCTCATTACTGAAATAGTGCCTAGTTCGTTTTAGTATCGTCAAACAACGCAAGCCGAGGCAAACCGTTCGCAAGTATGTGAAGAGCATGGTGGGGCCGGCACAGGCGCAAAATCCGTATGTCGCCAATACAAAGAACGCATCAGTGGTCAACGATGACAATTGTTTCGGGCGACCAACACGCATTGGAAATATGCATGCTCCGAACAATTGCAATGAAGCGTTGCACACCGCGTTTTTGAGCGACAAACAGATGCTACCACGTTATGCTTAAATGATTAGTCATACGAGTCTTGATATTTTGAGCAGTATCCTATTGAGCAGCCTAGTCGCCAGAAACAATACAGTTACAATGATGAGTAAACCGATCGATCATTTCGTGTGATGATTCAATGAATGCGAAAACTGCGTGTCGTAACAATACTTAGAACGCTGATGGTGCGAAACACCCACCACATCTTGTACCACAATGCGTAAGTTTGTTTAGTGCTTACATAACAGTTGCACTCGACTTGAAGTGAGCGATGTCCGCCACGTACCCTAAGTTAATCGGACTGTTGTTCAGTAAAAGAATGCAACTCATGGTCACCACTGATACTTGGCAGCAAAAAGTGAACAGGTACAGTAAACCTCATGAGTTCCATTTGATGCAGTAAGTTCATGGAACCGTTTCGCGCAGACTTGTACTCGGTCTGGGCGTCACGTTTTAGTGATAGTGAGGAAATGAAGGGAATATTACTGGAAGATGCACTGCAAATACACAATACAAAAGTGCGTTAGCAACATAATCAAGAGCAACTACCAAGCCAAAGGAAGACTACCATGATAAGCTATTTGTACATGTGACGTGCAACCAGTGGTCGGGAAGCAGAGATACAGCTAATGCACTTCACATCGAAAGGAAAGCCAGTTTGGTTGAAACATTACCAGGAGCAAGGAGGCGGGAGAGGTTTCATGAAACTGATGACGAAAGTGACAACCCGATGAATTTCGCGAAATGTGTTCTGCTATATTCCGAAGAGCGCACTGACAGTTGCTAGTCAGCAGTCACAAGAAGTATCCACGTTGCTCCGAGTGGCGTCGAAGGGAATAGCTAGATAGGCATGAGATCTCTTCACAACACTGATGAAAGAAGTAGCCTGGGTCCAGTGCCATTTTTACTCTACATTGACACAAACTAGCGTCGTATTTCATCGATGAAAGATTCAAATGATCGAAGTAGTGACCCTGAAGTAAATGAGTCAACTTTGAAGGGTATGGCAAGATGCATAATTATATGTGTATGAGAGAGAGAGGGAGTCGGATACTCGTTTATTGTTATGACTCCTTCTTGGTTACGCTAGGTTCTGACGATCTGTGACACTGAGTTCAATAGGGCCGTGGTTTCACCTTCGCCTTATCAGGGTTGGTGTCGTCGCTGTGGGGGACATATGAAAACATGGCTCGCTGCAGTGAAATCCGACGTCGATCCTCTGGGGATCCAGGTTTTGCATGATGTTCGTCAATAGAGAAAGCATTGGATCAGTATCTGCATGGAGCTTGCCGCTGACCGCCGCGCTTAGGCAGCTGAAATCCGCAACATTCATGAAGCTGGCTCATCCTGTCGCAGGAGCTAGCCGCGGTAAAGTAAGCAGCGAAGCCGACTTGGACTGTTCGTTGAGCGTTCCGCGTCGCAGTCGAAGTTGGTATTGGTGACGAAACCATGTGTCGTCTCCCACAGTGACATCATCTGACATACTACCACGATGGCTGTTACTGTGGCTCCGATCCAGTATGGGTGACCAGCCCGGTAGTTGCGAGCAGACAGGAGCTCCAACAGCGAAGCGCCAGCGACTGGTGAGGATTTTGGTTTTCACTGGTGGCTCTTTGGTGAGAATCAGCGTTTTGTGTGTGGTGTTCAGCTTCCGATCTATCAATGCTTCGGCTGGAGGTTTTCCTCCTGGAGCTGCTGGATTCGGTGTAATTCTGTAGACGAACAGGAAAATCTCGAAAATTGTCTCCACTGTCCCCTCCCCAGGAGCTTTCAACAGCGTCTTCTTGAAAGTGTAAACGAAACGTTCCGCTTGACCGTCTGACTATGGACGGCAGGGCGGTGATCGGAGATGCCGGAAGCAGTGACGGCGGCAGAAATCTTCAAATTATGATGATGTGAACTGCGACCCGTTATCAGACACTAGAACATCAGGGAGTCCGGGCAGGCTGGAGGTGAGTTGGAGACAAGTTATCGTGGCCGTTGTGGTCGGAGGGTTCATGTACACTTTAGGCCATTTGGAGTAGGCATCAACCAGGACCAGAGAAGATGTGCCATCGACTGGACCAACATAGTCGATGTGTATAGAAGATCAAGGTTTTTGCGATGATTTCTAGGGGACTGGAGGCTGGTGCTGTGGCATCTTGCCTGTGTCTTGGCATCGGGAGCAACGGTGAACCAAATCTTCAATGTCGCTATCAATACCGGGCCAATAGACGAAGCTGCGAGTGATTTCCTTTATTCTGCTAATATCAGGGTGTGTAGCATGGAACCGACGGAGGATGGCTTGTTGAAGACAGACAGGAATGACAACCCGATCGGCAATCATGAGGCCAAAATCAGCTACAGAGAGATTCTCGACGCTGAAATAGGTGCTTGAGCTCTCGAGAGAGTTCAGTGTTAGGACAGCGTGTATGAACATAAGCCATAGCGTGGCGGAGGACAAGGTCTTATACAGTTGCGCGATGTATATCGGCGGCGGTAACAGGGAGGCTGCGAATAACATTTGAAAGCTGATGACGAACATCTTCCTCGACGGCGACAGCGACGAACACCGTGTCTTCGTTCGCAGCGCGCCTGGGGATTAGGCGAGGGAGACCGTCGGCTTCACAGAAATCCTGGGTGCGGCAGAAGTGGATTCCGAAATGGTACACCAGGATAACAGCCCATGGTTGAAATTGGCTGGAATTTCCTTATTGTAACCAAAGATTGACAGCAAATGGCATGTAGTCGGACAGTAAGGTGAAATGCTGACCATACAGCATTTTGCGAAACTTTCTGACGGCAAAGACGATGACCAAAGCCTCCACGAGCTGACCGTAGTTCTTCTCTGCAGACATCAGTGTGCGTAAGGCGTGCATGACGGCTTTCTCAGAAGGTTCGGGTCCTTGGTCTGGAATTCATTGTCCTAAGTAAAGTAATGACCAGCGCTTAAAGTGAGATAACACAAAAGATAGGGGTACGGAGGTAAAATGCTCGCAACCGTAAGTCATTTAGTATAATTAGAATTTGAAATGCAAAAGCGGTTACCGCTCACTTTGGGTAAAGGAAGTCGCTAGAGAGTCGGAGTTGGTTATCGTAACCGAACTGACGTAACACAGTCCAGGTGGTTTCATGGCGTCCTTTCTGGACAAAAATCTGGTGCAGGAATAGGAAGCCTGCAAAGACGAAAAAACAATGCGTGCGCATATGATGAGGACTACCTTGACCGAGACAAAGCAGCGAAGAAAAGCATGAATAAGCAGGAAAAAGCATTTGCAAAAACTGGAACTCGCGAAAGCCTCCTCAATTAGTCAGAGACCAGACGCATGCGAAGTAAACTGCATAGCAGAGGGATGCATCACTGAATATTGTATTATAGGAGTAAGTAGAAATCTAGATGTGCACAACTCTGTTGAACTATGACCAAATATGTGAAAAAAACCATAATCTGCCCGTACTCTGGTCATTTTCCAAATGCTCACGACATATCGTAAAATGTATGACTTACACTAACTTAGAGACGCAAATCCGAGATATCACTGTCGGTGAGTACACAGTCCTCTGAATTCAACATGGGAAAATGTAAATGCCAGTGTTCTGAACCGCTGCACTGAGTTTCTTTACAACATGTGCGCCAGTCGACTGTTCCAAACATTGACGTAACGTTCTGCTGTTGTCTACATCCCAAATACTGCAGTCCCTTGCACATATCTCCACACTGCGTTGATGGTAGGTGACAAAACACACTTCGTTCCTCCATAGTAAATTATCTTTGTTTTCATATCTTACAAGTTATCTCGATCAACACACATTGTTGAATCATGTAAAATGGTTAGACGGCTCCCTTTTAAACGCATTCAGGTGCAAAATGCGTTCAGTTGCTCGTGCTTCAATTCTAAGGTTTGTAACTGCATCCACTGGTTATACTCTTCTCTTGTTATTTCCCCAGGTCTTCTCCAAAAAGATTATGCCCCTCTTGTCCGTTCGCTAACATTTATTTCTCGTGACTGGAAAGAACCGCTCATTGATTTTACCGTTAAGAAACAATTTGATGCACGCAACAAGTTTCTAACCAAGATTTTAAGCGGCCTCTCTTACCCTTTAAATACTATTCTAGCCAACATTAGATCCACTTTGTGCACACGGTCAATAGTTAAAGTTTTACATTCTCGTATTCTTGTCGTATCGAAACGCCATCCTGCCTTTCTATCATGCCTACTAACCGAACCGTCAGGATTGAAACACCGCTTGCTAGACGGTATGCTTAATAGAAGCTGGACCATTTTCGTTTTACTTCTGAGAATTTCCCTTGCTTTTATTGATGCTTGGTTGTATTCTATTTCGCAGTGTTAGCGAGAAATACAGAGATGAAGTTTAATTTGATGTGGCTTGATTTCTAAGTGATAAGAAAAGCTTGCGAAACTACCGGTGGTGCATAAACGGAAAAGCGTCAAAAAGCGCAGATTTCCATACATCATTCTGAACATAAGAAAAACGCAGGCAAAATAGGAGTAGCCGGATGAGAGTAAAAGATGCAGTCGGTGATTCTATAAAAATTCCTGAGGGCCCAAACTATTAGGTCGGTGGTAAAGTTATTGCGGCTTTTCGATATTGTTATTTTAACAGCTGTGTTTTTGAATGATCTTTAATAAGTTGATTGGATCTTGTACATCATTTTGAAGGCTGTTTCACGCCCCGTCTAGCAATAGTGATGGTTTAGCTCAGAAAGACGTTGTTACATCTTCACAGGACACTTAACGTAACATGGACAGAAGGACAAATTCGCAGGACTTTCTTGTACGAAAGGCAGCAGAAACATCCCATGGATGCCAACAGTGCACAGTTGTTGTGGAGTTCTCCGAGCTGGGCAACTTGGTTGCAGACGTTTCGCCACCATTCGAGGTGGCATCTTCAGTGCGGGATTGATAGCAGTTAAGTAGCAGTAGCTGGTAAAAAGCAAACCCAATAATGGACCATTGACCCATTGATCCATTACTGGGTTTGCTTTCTACCAGCTACTGCTACTTACCTGCTATCAATCCCGCACTGAAGATGCCACCTCGAATGGTGGCGAAACGTCTGCAACCAAGCTGCCCAGCTCGGAGAACTCCGCAACAACTGAGCAGGCCTCCCCAGCTACCAATATTCCAAATCATTGCCAACAGTGCATTTAGTGCTGGAATCACTAATAACGGTACTGCACAATGGCGGTTACAAAAGTTTCGGGATTTCGAGTGTCTTGAAAATGAAGCGCATTGTGGATGGCCATTGGAAGTGAACAACGATTACTTAAGGGCCTTAGTTAAAGCGGATCCGCGTAGAACCTCGAAATCTTGCTGCGACTTAGAAGAATCGCATGTTACAGTTTTAAAACACTTACCGGAGATTGGAATGTAAAAAAGCTCGCCAAGTGGGTGCCGCACGAATTAAATAAAAATCAAAAAATCGTCGTTTCGAGATATCGTCTGCCCCTTTTTCTTCGCAATAAAAACGACCTGTTTAGCGACTGGATTGTGACTTGTGATCAACGACGAACATCTTAATGGTTGGACCATGATCAACCTCCACAACTCTTCCCAAAGCCTGCAGCTTGTCTGACCCATCACAGCTTTCTGGATATAGGGGAAACCGTTAAAGCGGAGAAGGATTGCCAAGAAATTGTCTAAAGACACCGAAAACTGCAACATAGGTGCGTGGTAATGATCAACAGAAAGCAGCCAATTATTCTTTATGAGAATGCTAGGCCGCGCTTCGTACAAATAAAACTGCGGAAGCTGCACGAGCTGGGCTACGAAACTTTGCCTCATTCATCATACTCTGCTAACCTCTCACCTATCGATTAATAACTTCAAGCACGTGGATAATTTCCCCCGAGAACTTTTAAAACCCAAAGATATGCTGGAACCGCGTTCGACGACTTCATTGCCACAAAAACTTCGGAATCATCCGGGAGAAATAAAATTGGTTCCCGTTGGCAAAAGTGTGCTAATTCAAATGGATTTTATCTGAAATAAAATTATGTTTGAGCAGACAAGTGGATTTAAAGCTTCAGATTAAAAACTGCAATCACCATAATAGTAACCTAATACTATTACTGCTGCCAGTAACTAGCAGTGCGATAATGCACGGGGTTTTAGAAATTATCGACCATTGCCAGATTATACATGACAAAAAGTTTCTTAACACAATGTAGTATAGGTCCAAAGATGCAACCCGCAGCAGTATGTAACGACATAATTGAATGACACATTGTGATCGGCCGCTGCCTCGGAACCGAACCATACAAGTGTGAACATGCATTTAGGTCAAAAACGGAGGGAAACACGCCCGGATCGTTCGCTTGGTGCGGTGTCACCGGGATTCGAGTCTGGTGACTGCGAGACGTTTGATGTAGACACACGAGCGAGGGTTCGAAATGACTCGATGGGTAAAGGAAAAAGGTGTGCGCATGGACTGTATCCTGCTCGCACAGTATGGGTAGTTGGTAAATCAGCACAAGTTTAGTTGCACCAGACGACTATCAGATTTGACGTATCGACCGGTTGCGCATTGCAGAAGTTGAAAGTGGTGGGCCAAAGAATGTACATATTATGGAAAGGTCACATGCATACAATAAAGAAAAACAAGGTGCGGCTGTTTCAGTGCCTACCCAAACTCATCACTGGATTATCTAAGTCCCGAATTCGATGGCGTCCAACCCGTGTTTAGGTTTGGTGGAAGTCAGCGTTTTCTGTAAAAACCGATGTTGTTCGCATGGCCCGCGATTCGGTCGTGGGTCTTGTCTTTGTCCACCTTATTAACTGTTAAAAGCTTTGTTTTACCCTGGACGGGGATCAATGTTGTAGACCCCGATCGGCCAATATCGTATTCCATTTAGCAACCATACGCGTGTGTGGTTCATTCAAATAAAGCGGTATGACATAAACCTTAACTAGCCCCAATAAACCTGAACTGATTTAAAGTGTGGATCAAGCTTCAAGCTAACTTAATGCGCAGCTTTGTGGGTGAAATAGGTCGAGCGTAACCTGACGCCAAGCAGCAATCGTTCAGTAAACGTGCCGCGATTGCATAACGAATTAGAGCGAAACGCAAGAACGGTAACACGGCGATGCTTGATCCACAGACTGCACATCATGGCAGCTGAGGGGCGACGCAGAAAATTGGTGTCTGGAGTATAGTGCCAGACTGTACGAGGTTTTAACAGGGCGAGGAAGAGGCATGAAACACCGGTAAGAACAGTAGCGAAAATGAGCAGTGAGAAAGATTTTGAGAAACCAAATGCGGATGACTGTCATGGCATAAGCGAAGGATAACAGGAAAAAAACCAGCAGAAAAAACACAACCACTAACCTTTTTGGGTGATTCCATTTACAGTCATCCCGCCGGGACAGGATTGACGGACGAGCATTTTTACATCCTGCAACGATTGCGAGGTTAGCGGAACGGAGAAGCAACGAGATTGGAATGCCTCCAGTTCGCGATCGGACAGATAACCGTCGTTGTCAGTGTCACAGATCCGGAACACCCGGGTCAGTGCTCGAACACACGCTGATGTTAGCTGAGAACAGGGAAATGTGACAAAAATAACAATAAGAAACATGTTGATGCCAAATAAAAAGGATACCAGACAAACACAGGAAAGAGAGTTACCGGAAGCTCCGAAAAGGCAACAAATGCTAGACCGCAGCAAATATCGAAATTTTAGACATTGGCATGAATTCATCAGGACATTGAGCGAGTGCGGAACAAAACTGCCTCCACAGATTTTAGTTTATTTTATGACAGACATGGCAAAGTATTGTTACTAATTACTAAAACCTACTTCGAAATCAGCTGTCCAGTTGAAACATTTCATTAGGGTAGACAGGTTCTTGTCAAAATTATTCAAACAACAGCGGGAGTGTTGCCGCTGTAAAGCGTCTGTCGAGCGTCATAAAAATCGAGTCGCGTTTCCTCAATCGTAAACAAGTTTAAGTCACATAAAGAAAAGAATGATTACGGAAAAATTGGAAAAATGCTGAAACAGCTATGGATTCACCCGGGAGGTCGCGCATTTTACTCTGGATGTGGAAGCATTAAAGGTCGATTGTTGTGGCCAGGAGGGCAAGTCACCCTCTGATGTAACGTTAGATAAGAGTTACTGTAAAATGTTTCAAAGTATAGAGGAAATTGGTCAGCCTGAAGTCGAACAAATCATCCGGTCCGCATCGGCTGTCCTCCGCTATTATCGAGGAATGTACTGATTACCTGGCACAGTCTTTTGCAGAATCGCATACCTTTTGTCTAAAAAAACATAGTGGACAGCTGGTGCAGCACAAGCATCATACGGGTATCGAAGAAAGAAAGTTGCAAATATCGACCAAACCGCTTGCACTTCGATTGCTTTGATGATTTATGAGAGGCTAATTCTTTGAAGGATGTTAGTCTGGGGACATTTGGATAACCTCAACCAGTTCGCATATCGCACTTCAACATCCACATTAGGTTCGATAACTTACATGCTGTGCTCTCCATCATCATCATCATCAGCAACAACAACAACAGCAGTACATCAGCCATTTGAACTGAGGCTTCGCTACCGTACAACCACGGTGGCTTGCGGAAGGAAGAACAATAGGAGGGAGAGAAGGAGGATCTAATATAAAACCTTAACGCCCTAAGCAAACATTCAGGACCAAGACGCCTACACCTTGTGTTAACAACGTACCGCTACAGAGAGCTGGCCATCGTGTAAAGGCATCAGCGAGACAGCTTCCATGTGGCTTTCACTGGCCCGCTTCAACATCAGCCATTACCCTGCAGATAACTCAGCACTAAACACAGTTTAAACAGGCAATCCGACTGAATATAAAACACAATTAAACGCCTATCTGCTTCCTGGACGACAGCAATGCATTCGGCCGCGTTGAACGCGAAATGTTGCTGCATGATCCGCTTTGCTCTGGAGTTAAACATACAGTTGTTCTTATAGTGAAGTATTATCTTAACAATCACACCCATTATAGCAGGTTTTGAGAGGAAAACTTCTCGTCACTCACTACGAATTCCGGCTTTGTCCATGGAGGCAATTCTGTCCTCACCGTTACTTTCCACACACGTTCCATTAGTCCTCGTCTCTGAAGAAGCTAGCTTGCTAAAGTATGCGGCTGGCACAATCTTGCGTGCCCATCATCCAACGGTAACATTACAAACGCTACTGCCTTCGGCCGGTGGCCGAATGGATTGC